ATCTGTGACTGGCATCTTCAGAGGGCAGGAGCACAGACAGGAGCAGTTCTCTCTGTGCCCAGAGAGACTGCTCCTGTCTTTGCTCCTGCACTCTGAAGATGCCGGTCACAGATGCTGGCGAAATGTTAGGAAACAAAACTTCCAGGACACGGCCACACAGCCCGGAAGACCCACACCAGCCAATCCTGTATTTGTGGATGAATACATTTGTTGGCATGCTACTCTCAGAGGTTTGCTATCACAAAATGGTCTCAGGCTATACTTGGATAATATATGTCATAAGACTTTTAAGAATGCCATCTTCACAAGGTTTACCCTGTAAGACCATCTGGTGCCATGGTATCAGAAGATTTTTGAGGCTTCTTAGTGCATTGTTAGTAGTTTTAAAAATTAACTTTCTCTTGCAACTGTCCCCGTTACGGTCTATCGGAAAGTGTATTTTGAAAAAATGCCAGAAAAATATCAACAAATATACCTGGACAAATGCATGGGTGGCAAGGAAAGGGGGGAGGCACTAGAAAGTTATGCTTGTACAGGCAGTCCTACTCAAGTATATACATGTGTGATTAAAACACTAGTTTCTGATACTGGAAATTTATCTAAAGTTACAATCCTATGCATATTTATTTATTTACGAGTAACTAACTGAACTTGGTAGGACTTGTTTCTGTCTAACACCCATTGTGCACATTCATTATACATTTTAACAAAATGAAAAGCAAGTCATACTTGAGCAGCACTGCACCATTCTTTGCAGACTCTTCCATTCCACCAGCTGAAATATTGGCAAAGTTGTTCAGGTCATTTCCACTACTGTAATAGTCCCCATTACCTATAAATAAGCAAATACAAAAAACAATGAAATAAATACAGGTAGTCCTCACTTAATGACTACATTTTGGACCGGCAACGCCATTGTGACTGTGCCCAACTTACAATGTCAGTTCCCATGTGGTCATTAAGTGAATCACCCATGGTAGTTAAGTGTGACGTCACATGGTCGCAACCTACAACATACTGCCAGCTTCCTCACTGACTTTGCTTGTCAGAAGCCAGCTACGAAGGTTTCAAATGGTGATCACATGACCGCAGGACACTGCAACCGTCATAAATGTGTGCTGGTTGCCAAACATGAATCGCGACCTCGTGACTGTGGGGATGCTGCAATAGCCCTAAGTTCTAGGACTGATCATAAATCTACTTTTTCAGTGCCGTTGTAAGTTTGAACAGTCACTGAATGAAGCAGTTGTTAACTGAGGACTACCCGCATTTGTATTACATTCAAAAAAAGTATTCTAGGCAGAACCAAACAACTTATTTTGGACAAGGTCCAAGATTAGTTGAAGATTATTGCATCCCATTGATTTCAATGGTTTATTACATTCCCATTGTAGTTGGTAAGATTGTAAAAGAACATTTAGGCTGGATTCTGCTCTCCATTATTTAAAACTTATTTAACCAATAAAGAATATTTATGAAAGCCTTTGACAATACAAAGAATATTTTAGTTGCATTCTTTCACATTACTATTCTTACTTGACTACAGGTAATAAAAATAAAATATGGTTTAGGATTTTCTATGTACTTTGAATACTGTCTCACTTGCAATGTATGTGAGATCAGGTACATTATTTTATTAAATAGATAAGAATTGAGAGGTACAGATATATCAATAATAACTAATACTTCTCACATTTGCAGAATAATTTATTTACATTTTATTAGAAAATCTGTGAGTCAAGGAAATGTTATTTCAAAAGAAAAAAATTAATTTGTGCTTGCTGTTCTTATTTATGTGGGCCAAATTAAATAACAGGTAATATCTGACCTAAGAAGCACATTTTAGACAGAGGAAAGGAGGGGTAAGTATTTAATAACTACCCAAATATATTGTTTTTCCGATGCCTTTGCATCTGTAACAAAGGTTGCCAGAACTGTTTGTGGCATATACTTTTGGATGCTTTGTGACCCAAGGGATTGTACTCCTTTCTTATTCTTCCTACTCAGCATTTCACTGTTTCACTTTTTTCATCCTGCAACCACATCCTATCTTGAGACAGACAGCTTTCTACTGTCTTCTACAAGCAACTTCCTAAGGGAAGGAATTATTAAAAAAAAAAAAAAGAATGCTATCATTTTATGCCAAATGGGATATTACAAGATGAAATAAATGGTAAGCAAACAGGGCATCTAAAAAATCTAAAAAACAATCTTGAAATGGCATTTTTCAAAATGCTACTTATAGACATGCTATTCATAAGAACTGAGAATTTCCCTTTTCAGGAAACAGTATGTCATTGTCTCTATGTAAACAATATAAACTAATGTCAGAATATTTATATCTATGTCAAATCCTAACTAGCGTTTGTTTAATCAGTGTTACATGCAAGTCAGATCTCATCTTGTTTCTCTAGTAACAGTCCAGAATCATAAGCCAGAATTTGTATTGACTTATTTGTCAGGAAAGGACCAAGACAAGACTTCTGGCTTGCATGTAACGATAGCAGGAGAACTTCCTGATTTGCTTAGCTCTTTCTAGCAATCAGGAGCTAAATGGGAGCAATAGTTTTGGCAGCAGTATGAAGAAACTAGCATTCTGAAGAATTCTAGATGCTATTATTGCATGTGAACACAACTATTCCATCTAGAAAATATATTCCCCCACCTTCCTGCTAACTCAAACTTGACTGAACAAGATAGTCGTTGAGTCAAGTTCAACTCCTGGTTACTATACAAATGAATGTTTGCCATCTTGACCTGTCTTTGTAATAACTTGTAGCTCCTCCAAAGACATCCCGGTGATGTCCCATCCACCCATCCATCCACCCATTGTTTCTGTTGTTTCCTTTCAACCTTGCCAAGCAGAGCCAGATTTCTTGTCCATCCACTTGTACCATATGCTCAAAGTATGTGAGTTTTTGCTTCCTAGTGATTGTTTTAAAGCTAGTTAGTTTTTGAATTTTCTCAGACCAACTGATTAGCTCTTCTTGATGACTTGCTTTCGCTCTTCTGATATTTGTTGTCACTGAAATATTCCTCATGATTTTGCCTAAGTTTCTTATTGCCTTTTTTCCTAGGATTCTCTTTTTTATTCTTCCAGCATGCTGTCCAGTCCAACTGTAACGATTTTTTTACCTAAGAAAATCCAACTATCAACACCTTCACTTCTTCATTGTCAACTGCAAATTCACTATGCACACAGGTTGACACTACCTTTATTTTCTTAATATTTAACATTAACACAGATTTTCACTTTCATGGTAAAAGCTAACACCTGTCAGAACTGTTAGAGCAGAATCATCATTTGCTGCTTCATCAAGTGCTTCCATAATTTCATTGTACATCTGCAAAAGAGAATTAACAAATGAAAATAAACTCCCATTCCATAGTGCAGAAAGTTAAAGGAAAAATGTTTGTAGCTTGAACTACTGAATCCCCAGATTATCAATGTCATCCAAAGACTCAAAAGAACGAAGTCTTTTTTTTTCCAGAACTGCTGTAGATACAGAATGTTTCCAACAAATAAAACTGAGAAAAATGAAACATGTAGAATATCAAATTGTGTTTTCTTTGGGTTTCAGAATATATAAGTTACTTTTTTCTTATATGAGAGAGATGGAATTGTAAAACATTATGACCTTTGCAAGGAACATATACAGTCTTTTGACCATAGTAAGATGCAAGCTTCTGGTTTACAGATGACCACAGAAGCTATCTGAATCAAATTCTATCAGTCAGATATTTGTACAGAGGCAATAAAATGTATAGCACAACATTAATAGTTAGTAAATGGAATACAATATTATCAGTTTTTTTAAAAAAGTTCCCCTTTCTTATAATTCATTTCTGCTATAAAAAAAGAAGTCACCGGAGAACAATTAAATCAATTAACCTGCCATTTTAAATAAAGGGAACAGGCAAAGCAGCATTCTTTATTCCACTGGGTTAGAATTAAGGTCTAATTAAGTGTAAAGCTGGATGAATACCAAAAGTCTATATGAATTCTCAGTTCAACTGCATACTGAAGATCACAGAATTATAAAATATCAGAGTTGGAAGAGATATTAGAAATCATCTAGTCCAATCTTCTACCCGGATTAAGGTTTTTAGACACAAAAAGAAAACTAATTATTATTTCATTAGTTGCTTAATGAATAGTTTCCAAAATAATTTTACAGGGCAATCTGATCACATATACAGCTGATGAATTAAGACATAAAACAAAATGTCCTATTCCCAAAACTTTCCCCGACCTACATTTTTTCTTTCTCCAGTTACTGACATATGTTCTCTCTCTTTAAAGTCATACAAGCCCTACTATAATCCAGCTATCATTAACTAAGCATAGTAATATGCTGTCAAAATAATTGTTTGTTGCTTCCTTACTTTTGCCTCCTTTTCTATTATTCTTCCTTTGTTGAATCTCAAATATAAAATTTGTCTTAAATCCTGTAAATCATCATGTTATGGTATGTAATAAAGAGGAGCTCAGATAGATGAAGCAATGGAAGAGACAATGCCTAGGGCATCGCTGGAGGAAAACCTGCCTCAAGTCTGACCAGACACCAGACCAAACAGGGAATCTGATGGTAGTGCTGACCCAGTGCCTGGAGGCTGTCAGGGGAGAAAAAAACTTTGATCGAATCCCATCAAGAAAGAGTGGCTTTGGTTTTGTGGGCATAATGATTCTAGGAAAATTCTATCTTTAACTTTCAGCAAGGTTGTATTCCACCACTTAGAGGTGGTTCACAATTTGGGAGTTCTTCTAAACTCACAGCTTCTACTTGAAGAGCAGGTGGCAGCTGTGACTAAGAGAGCTTTTGCAGAGTTACAGCTTGTGTGCCAATTGTGATTCTTCCTAGACCCGCAGGCCCTGATCACAGTCACTGATGAGCCTCGTCACTTCCTGTTTGGAAAACTTTAATATGCCCTACATGGGGCTGCCCCTGAAGAGTATCTAGAAGCTACAGTTGGTGCAGAATAGTGCAATCTAGGCAGTAATGGGTGTATTTTGACATGTTAGGGTGATTCTGCTGTTTTGGGAGCTATGGTGGTTACTGTTGGCTTCCAGTACATTGGTTCTGGATCTTGTTATCTGAGGGATCACCCTCTCTTATATTCATCTGCCTCTTCAAGCAGATCAAAGAGGGTCCCTACAGGACTGTCATGTGACAGAGCCTTGGAATCTGGCATTCTCAGTAGCTCTCCTCAGTCTTTGGAACTCCCACCCAGTAGAAATTTGATCAGCCTTTTCACTCCTAGACTTCAGGAAAACTTTGAAAATCTTCCCATTCTGTTTTGCAAAGGAGGAGGGTGTTTTGTGATTTGAAAGTGAGAGTGCAAATGCATGGCATTTGTAGTTGTTAGTGTTTATTTCTTGTTCTTTTTACATTTATATGCATTTGGGGTTTCCTGGAGTATTTTTATATGTTTATATTGGTAGCTGCCTAGAGCCTGCAGGAATGGGCAGCATAACAAGCAAAAGAAAAAACAAGCAAAAAAAATAAACAGCTGCCCCCAATCATTTTCAGCATTTGGAGTTTTAAGAACACTTGGGTAGTTTTGCAAAACAGCTACTAAGAAAGAGAACACTTGGCAATTATAGGTGATTGATTATATCAATCAATCAATGGTTTCAAATAACCAATCCACCAGAATACTGCTTCTGCTATCTGAAAGACATTGCCTCCTGCCCACACAAATCTTTTCCTTTCTATGGACAGACAGATGCACTTCCAAACAAAGCACTGGGCTGGATCTGGTCATTGTTTTTTGCTTTCTAAAAAAGCTTATGGGCCTGTTGGGGTCTCCAGACTGCTTCATAGTATGCAGTTTTCATTTTTAAAATTAATTGTTTAAATGTAAAAAGGCGGGTAAGTAGTGATTTTAATTGGGTACGTGTCGCATTCCTGGGTGACATTTTGTGGATTCTAGGCGTATACAAATCAATGATTAAACTGATTCACCTGTGTTTAAAAAATGGAAAGTGGGAAAAAAGAATAGAGACAGAGGAGGTAAAGAGAAGACAAGGAAAGAATCATAACAGGGTGCCAGGGCAACTTTTCCTCTGTCTGGGGTGATTAGTAAACATACATGAATGGTACCATTTTG